ACCCATAGCTCTCAGAGCTTCCAGAAACCCTCTCTGACCTCCTCACTCAGACAGCAGATTGGGGAGGAGAGGTTCAGTATAGAATGGTCTCATTGTGAAGGTTAATAAGAGGGTGTTCTTGAAAGCAAGATGTTAAAGGGGGAGTGTGACAGAACTGAAGGGGTCCTTCGAACAGGAAAAAGTCTAGGGTAGAGTCACAGGAGGACAGAAGACAGACCAAATCAGAGACAAGCCAAGGTGGATAACTGCTAGGTTGATTGTTTTCTATTTTTCCTTCATTTATACCTGTTGTCTTCTTTTCAGGATTCACCTACACCCATCTTCCCCAAGAAACTTGACCAGGATTGACCTTTCCAGAAAAGACTGACTGTCCCCAAACCTCTTTCCTCTTTATCTAGACACACTACTAGGTAGTTTTATTCCTTCGGAATGTTCTGAAGTTCACTTGCCAACCTGAAAATTTCATTCACATTGGGACTTTCATGTCTGAGAATGGAACAGCCTAGGGAGAATCCAACTTTCTAGATGGATAGTTTCTTCTAAAGAGACACTACCTGTAAAGGTGGCATCTCTGGGGGTGCTTCTGAGAGATGTCTGTGTCTGGCATGTGAAGGGCAGCTCCCCAACATGTGGGCTCACCACCTGGGCCCCTTCACATCATACCTGTGTGTCTAGCTCTTCCTGACAGGATGGATTCATCAGAGGCTCTGTGGTCTTTTCCTTCTCATCAGGTGAGAGGTATCGTCAAGGAGAGAACCCACAAGGAACCATTAGAAAATGCTCTCCACTCGTTGCTTCATCTGCTCTCTTTTTCCTTCCTGCATTTCTCCTTTCCTTCCGTCAGCAGGAAGGAGGAATCTTTACGGGGGACTGCAAATGTTCTGGTAATGGTATTTTTTCCTTTTTGGATAGGAATTCAAAGAGTCTCCCCTTTTGTGCAGTGGATTCTTTCTCTCTTCACCGTAATAACTTTATTTCTTCCCAGATTGAATATACTGAGTGAGGAAAAGGCCTTTCTCTGTGTATCTTATATCCTCTTGGAAGCCACACCTTAGCTTTACTGATGTTTTGTATTTGAACATGAGGCTAAACCTCTATTGCTTCCTTCCATTGCAAAGATATGGGCTTGGAACTTCTTTTATTAATGAAGAGATGTTTTTCAGTCTTTCAAGACCTGTTGGTTTAAATGCATAATGAGAGCACCAGTTGCCTTTTCTTCATGAATTTTTTTTGGACTCTGGCATCTTAGCAAAGGTTTCTTGCATCAGTGAAAAGTGTTAAGAACAGAATCTGTCCTATTCTCATTTATTAAACTTCTCAATTGCTTTCAGAAATTGATCGATTAAAACTGCAATTTTGTTGAATTTGGTCTCAGTTCACAAAGTGGGGTCCACAGTAAGGAGATCATGATGCTCACCATTCTGGGATCTGGCTTGTCACCCCAGGCTTCAAATACAATCAGTCATTAGCTTTTATTGAGATTGTAATTGTGTGAGTCCACTAAAACTGCATAAAAGGAGCCAGACAGAAAAAAAGATCGTGGTCTTTGTATTTTTCCCATCATCAAGCAGGGATGGCTTTTGTGTTCACTTGTTTTAGAGTGTTTGCTGGGCCAAAGACAGGTGCTGACTCTTTTATAAAATGCTGAATGAGGAGTGGAAAACTCAAATATCCAGAAAAGCCAGGCTATTTTCATAATATTGGGAAATCTCAGGTAATAGGACTGTGGATGAAGTGGGGCTTCTTGGCCCACTAAAAGACATTTAAAATAAGCAATTCCCCAGTAAAGTTGAAAGCTCAAATATGAGTTCAAGTTCTTTGACCTGACTGCTTACAAACTCATGGAGAGATTATGCTGGGAAGGCAGGAGAGGGAACTTTCTTTGAGGATGAGGTAGGAGATTGTCATGTAGAGAGAAAAATTTCCAGAGAAGGGGCACAGATCTGCAAGTGTCTGGGCTGTCGCACAGATTGGTGGCTGAACATGTTGGGAAGACAGGCAGGATTGGCTGGCCATGGGGACATTCTTACATACGGCACAGTTTTGGGTGCCCGAAAGGGCTTGGAGCTATGCGGGGATCAGTGATTCTGGAAGATGCAGGGGCCTGCTCTTCTGTTTCACTGTTTCTTTTGACCCTTGGGATTTTCAGGAAATCCAGTAGGAAGACATCTACTGCATTGAGGGCTCAGGATTAGGCTTTAATTTGAATTCAAGACAATAGGATAAAGTGACATCTCCTGGTTTTTGAGTCTAAAGTTCATTCTTGTATTATAATAGTAAAATATTGGAGTCAACTTTATGTTAAATAATAAGGAATTGTTTAATTATGGCTTATCTATGCCATGATGCATCAAACTAGATTGCTTTGTGAAGATACCATTGTATGAAAAATTCAGGTTATGATATACCAATTGTGGTTTGAGCCCACTTTAATAAAAACATAAATGTGGGCATATATGTTTTCATTAAAAAATTGGTAGAAGAAAAGTGTAGAAGGCTATATATCAAAATGTTCCTAGTGGTTATCTAGATGATTGAAATTATGAATGTTCTTATTTACTGTACCTGTTATTAATGAGCACTATTACCTTGTTAATGCCTCAAAATAGAAATAATTTTAAAAACCTGAGACCTTAGTATACCTTTTTTCTATTTAGATGGTATTGCAGAAATACAAACAGAAGCAAAGCAGAGCAGCTCCTCAGAAATGAAGTAAGTGTTTGTGCTGGCTCTGTGGGCTTGCTGTTGGTGCTAATTAAGTAACTTCCCCCATATATTCAAGACTTAAAGGAATTGCAAGCTCTTCTTGTTAGTTCTGGAAGTGACATGAGAGAGATTGTTGAAATGCCTAACACTGATGTGTGTGAGGATTTGCAGTGAGAGGGATTGTGAGTGTGCTTTCATAAACTAGCAATATGAGGTAGAAAGTCGTGTGAATGTACCTATTGGTAAGCATGTTTTGTAGGCAGTGATAGTAATCATAAAATTCTAAGATTGGGTTTTCGAATATTATCTATAGAATTGATACTTATTGGGTTCAAAACTTTTTCTTACCTTGAATTTTAGGATAAAGAAGGTGGTTTTATGGTAAGGGATTCCAGCCAACCAGGCTTGTACACAGTCTCCCTTTACACAAAGTTTGGAGGGTAAGTCATTCCATTTTTTTTTTGCTTTAATTTTTAGTTTTTGTGCAAAGTTCCTTTATAGTTTATATGGATTCTTAATTTACAAAACATATGGTACATCTCCATATTAAAAACGAAAACCTGAATTTGAGTTCTATAACCTAGAGTGCTTTTTTTTTTAGATTTTATTTATTTATGCATAGAGAAATGGGGTACAGGCCAGAGAGGCAAGGGTGGCGAGAGGATTCACCAGAGACAGAGTGGGGAGCAGGACAGGCAGATCAACAAAGTACACTGCTGAGGGGAGCAGTGGGCGAGACAGAGGTCTGCTGGGGCGGGGTTCAAACTCACACTGAAGCGGCCATGGCTTGACTTAGCTTCACAGTGCAGCGCTCCCACCCGCTGCACTACCAGGGGGGCCTTAGAGTGCTTTTATATTCATATTTTTAGTATTTTTCTCAGTTTGTCATATGTATTTGTTGCAAGTGATGAGAGAAACTTTACTATCATTCAACAAGTAATAACTATGCACAGCACTGAGCACTAAAGACATGACAGTGAGAAAGTAGACTGATACCCTGCTCTCAGCTTAGTAGAAGCTTCAGGAAAGCAGCAGGCAGTTCTGGTAGCGTATGAGCCAGTGCTGTGTTAGCAGGAGTGTGTGTGGCTGGTCCAAGAGGTGGGAGAGGAGATGATGAGTGTGAGGAACTGTCCAGCGTGTGCTTAGCTGAACTGTAGGAGTTGGGGGCAGGGTGAAGGGCAGGGTAGAGAAAGACACCTGAGAGGTAAAGGTGAAGGTAACTCATGTCAGTAGTTAGGAATCTGAACTCTGTCTTAAGGACAGCAGGGGTTATTGCAAATGAATTTGTAGCAAGAGATGACTCTGTTCCAGAAGGATACCAACAATAAAATTTGTACATTTATCAGTCTAGTTTCTAATTCACTTTTAGAGATCTATGTCCTCTAGATATTTGCAAATTTGTGCCCATTGGACAAACGGCAGTAGTAGGTAATAGCTATTTTAAAATGTTCAACTATGGGTTGGTCAATGGAGTTGCTAAATGTTCTTTCACAAGTTCATGCAAGAGGTTAAGTGTAATCATTTTACAAACATCCACCTGTTAATGTGAAAGGCAAAAACTAGAACTGTGTGGGGTAAGACAGAATTTGTACAGGGAATAGAAGGGGCCTTTTTAGCGGTCCTTTGGGTGCCTTATCAATAACCTCTTAAGAATGAAGTTGTATTATTTCAATTTGGCTCTGTTTTTTTTTTTTTTTTTAATAGAGAAGGCTCATCAGGCTTCAGACATTATCATATAAAGGAAACAACAACGTCCCCAAAGAAGTATTACCTGGCAGAAAAACATGCATTTGGTTCAATTGCTGAGATTATTGAGTACCATAAACACAATGCAGCAGGTAAGGGAGCCGTCATAGCCTACTTCAAATATAACATAATGCTGAATAGGATCAGATGTTGTGATGAATTCTTTGAGCAGTTTAACTTTTAGTTGTAGAATGTGGTTAATTTAAAACTACTGCATATCAAAGCGATAGATACAAAGAAAATCAGAAGTTTCATAGAAGTTTCATCAGAAGTTTCATTGACTGTAGGGTTGACTTATTTCAGTGGTACATGGCAAATCTTTTGTTTCTGTGGTTTATATCCTTGGTACTGATGAAGAGTCCTTGCTTGACCAAGGACTAGTTAGGCTCCTGAACCATGACCAAGGCCCATCCATGCACTTTCTGGTAAAAATAAAAATTCATCAGAAACTCTGCTAAGTCAGTGTAAGCAGAATCCCCTCTGCAGCCAATCATCCTCAATATGTGACTGCACTCCCTGTTACCACATTCCCCAGGATGTTTCTGATGACCCTGATGTGACTTTTGCAAGGCTCTTGTTATTAAGTTTATCCATAAGCTTCCCTTTCTTACCCCTGAAGTTTGTCTTAGAAATTCCTCCTGTGTTCCAGGTGAAGATATTAGTGCCTAGGATTCCATTGTCGCTGTTGCTGGCCATTAACTGAGCTATTAGCCTGTTACTTCGGCAGGTTGCCCAATGCTAGAAGTATTCCTTATCTCAGGCAGTTAGAAAATAAAGCTCTGGAGGAACAAAAAGTATTTCAGGAGGATAATGGAATTGCAGTGTAGCTAAACAGTGGGCTACTGACGCTGTTAGGGCCACTGTGGTTCTGACAGTTGGTGAAACAACATAGGCCACGTATCAGTTGGCTGTAGCTTCATTTCCCAAGAAGCAGGATTGACTTTAATTTGTTTTCAAGCACGTGATTCAGTGGACTAGTGATTTGATAATCTGAATTCTTTTGGGACCAAATTTATGGATTTGTACTGCTGCTAATCAAGCAGATTTTTACCATGAAATAATAATTATTTTTTTTATCCTCTGACTCTGACTCTGACTCTGCTCTTTGGCTAGTACACTTTAGTTCGCTGACCCCAACCCTCTTCCCTCACTGCAAATTCCCTGCAGCTCAACCTGTATTCACAGTGAGACCAGTCTCGCTCCCCTATTGTAAAGCCCCATTGGAGTGGTCTGGTCACCATCCTGAGGGTTCTGAAGAATTGCCCCACAAGCTTCAAAGGTGTTTCTGAATGTTTTTTTCCTGATACTCATATCTCCATGTCAAGAGTTGTCACAGAAGCTACTAAAAGGGGCCAGGTTTTGATTTTGCCCATAGAATTCCAAAAATTGTGTCCCAGACAAGTTTTCCATCTTCCTGATTCTCTGCTATACTTAACACTAGTATGAGAGCAAACCAAACATCAAAACTAAAAATGAAAGCCATATTTATACCCACGGAGGTTCTCCATAAGATGATAGAAAAATTTACAGCTTTTGACTTGACACATGTAACTGGATAGGAGATGCCCAAAAATTTATATTTCAAAAAATTATGAAATTATCGACTCAGAGTTGGCTAAACTTCACCCTGCCTACCTGTTGCCCTTTCTGCCTTTCTCCCTTTTATCTGTTGCTAGCGTACAAAACAGAGCTCTGCTAATTGAGCACTTCACCCTGCAGCATGATTAAGAAGGAGGTTGTGAGTGCTTGACCACAACTGATGCGGTAATCAACAAATATTCACTGTATGCTGTCTTCGATTTCTAGGACTCGTCACAAGGTTGCGGTATCCAGTTAGCGCAAAAGAGAAGAACGCACCAACCACTGCAGGATTCAGCTATGGTGAGTTGTACTTGCCCTGGCTAATTTTTCTGAAAACTTTCCATCACAAGGCAAGTTCAAATGTGTAGAATTTCATAGAGTGGAATTTTTTTTATATCGTCTGAGTTTTTAGGAAATTGTACATAATGCTGTAGCAATCCTAGTTTTTGTTGTCATCATTATTTATTTATTTTTTTAAAAGATTTATTTATTTGTGCATACAGAACTGGGGTACAGTTCAGAGGCTCAGGGGCGGTGAGAGGTTTCACCATACACAGAGTGAGGAGCAGAACAGGCAGATTGACGAAGTACACTGCTGAGGGGAGCAGCGGGTGGATCAGGAGAGGTCTGCCAGCCATGTGGTCACCTCCGGGGCAGGCAGGGATTGAACTCATGTGGAAGTGGCTTTAGTTTCTCAGTGCTGCGCTTTAACCCGCTGAGCCACCAGGGAGGGCCTTTTGTCATCATTATTAATAATTCAGAATAAAACGTTCTACCCGTGTAAAAACATACAACTATGATATATTTAAAATAGATCAGCTTTGCTGGATTCACACAAAATGCAAAGATGGAGGAGGGATCCAGTTTGATTGTCTTTGCTTCTCCTGGCCAGAGGTCTGTGGTGGGTCCCCACAGACAGAATAGGGAGCAAAGCAGGCCGACTGATGAAGTACAATGCTGAGGGGAGCAGCGGACAGGTCAGGAGTGGTCTGCTGCACTATGTGGGTCACCTCCAGGGCAGGTGGGGATCGAACTCATGCGGAAGTAGCTTTTAGCTTCCTAGTGCTGTGCTTTAACCCTCTGTGCTACTAAGGAGGGCCCAGCAAAATCTATTTGAAATGAAGTTGGTGGAATAGTAAAAGAAAAAAAAAATCTCTAAGAGGAAGAATAGTAAATTGAGGACATATTTCTTTTAACATATTTTGAACTGTAAGCACTGTTATTATTAACCAATTATTTGTATTGTGACAATTTAAAAGGGATGAGTCCTCTCTCGAGGGTGGAAAGGTACCTTTGGTCAGAAGTTGCTTTATCTGTTACCAGTCATTGCATTATTCTGTAGCTTTACATTGACCTTGATTCTACTTTCTTTGTCTCCCATTGATTCATGCTGTTCTTCTTACATTTTACCCCTTTCCCTCTCTGTCTCACAGAAAAGTGGGAGATTAACCCTTCAGAGCTGACCTTCATGAGGGAGTTGGGGAGTGGACTGTTTGGCGTGGTGAGGCTTGGCAAGTGGCGAGCCCAGTACAAAGTGGCCATCAAAGCCATCAGGGAAGGTGCAATGTGTGAAGAGGACTTTATAGAAGAAGCCAAAGTGATGATGTAAGTTGTTCTGTTCTTTCTAGCTTTTCTCTTTGTTTGAACAAAAATCTTCCCTGGTGCTTTCTCTTCCCAGAGTAACCATGTGTGTGTTTGATTTGCTCCCCAGGAAACTGACCCACCCGAAGTTAGTACAGCTTTACGGGGTCTGCACCCAGCAGAAGCCAATCTACATTGTTACGGAGTTCATGGAAAGAGGCTGCCTCCTGAATTTCCTCCGACAGAGACAAGGACATTTTAGCAGAGATGTGCTATTGAGCATGTGTCAGGATGTGTGTGAAGGAATGGAGTACCTGGAGAGAAACAGCTTCATCCACAGAGACCTGGTAATCACAAACCATCGTGTGCCTTTCACTGGCCTAATTCCTTTCTAATACCCGTCAGCAAATGAGCAATGGTGTATTCACACTGTTACTGCGCATAGTGGTGGAAATCAGGAGCTCATATCTGAGAGGAGAAAAGGTTTATTGCAGGTGAACAGGCAAAGGGGCCAGAAGAAAGCTCAAATTTGACTCCCCCCGCCCCCAGTAGGGGAGGGAGTTTATCTTGGTTTGGAAATGGGGTTGAGAAAGAAAGGAATTAAATTTGTTGGCCATGGACTGAGTTAGGAGCAAAGAATTGTGGACTTGGTTAAAGTTCATTGCTTATTTACAGGGCAGTCAGCTTGGATCTCAGCTCAAGGTTAAGCCAATATACACATGTGCAGTCTCTGTAATTTGCTACTAAGCTTTCACTCCACTATTTCGATACTGTTTGTGAAAGCCAGTTTAGATATATTTTTATTTTGTGCCCTAAGTCTGAGAAAAAGTTCATCCTTTAATTCAGTTTCAATATGAAATTTTTATTCTCAAGAATATTTTGAGGCTTCATTATTTTGAAACTAAGTACATTTAACTTGCTACAAATTTTAACAGAAGGTTCTTTATTAAATCTAATATATATAACAACTATATAATGTAACTAGTTATAAAGTTATAAGTGAAACATAATGACAGAAATAGTATGTTTAACTAAGTTGCCATGCTGTAATTGTTAGGTCTCCATGAAAATCCCATGGATAGCTAATCATGACGATTTTTCTTTTCATCATTTTTTAGGTAAGAAAATTAGCTTCAGATAAGTGAAATGACTTGTATATTATATGGGGATAAATGAAGAAGTTAAGGGATGATTCATTCTTTAAATAAATCCTAAGTTCTCTTCTGTCTCATATACTGTAATCAGAAATTGTAGGAGAAATCTCTTGGTTCATTTTCTTTCTCAGATCCCTAGAGAAAGAGGGAGGCTCGTGTTAGCTCCTGAAATTACCAGAAAAAAATCTTCTATTATTGGTTCTAAATTATGGTGATGAAAATACTTAAATCTTCCTTTTTCTTACTCAATTTTTCACCTCTCTCCTTCATTCTTTCTCTCTCTCCTCTGCTCACTCTCAAATATGTCTGTTCTTAGCAGGTTGGGAGAAACTTCACACCCTGTCTTTGAAGATGAGTCTTCCACACTTACAAAAATGTGATTCTCATGTAGGGATTCCCCCCATATTTTAGCTCTAACTTTGTCATAAAGCATATATACATTTTATCTAAAGTAGCAGCAAAGCATTTTTATTTTAAATTTAACAGTCATCTTTAACAAACATTGCTTTAATAGATGTGATATCCATGATAAATCAAACCTAAGAAGTTATTATCCTTCTGTTAGATGAGGAAATTTAGGTACAAAGAGGATAAAATCATATACCAATGGTCAGGGAGTCAGGATTGGGATGAGCGTGTCCAACTCTAGAGTTCATAATTACTGTACCATGCTGTCTCTAACTGGGCTGAATAATGAAAGGACTTAGAAATGGAAGACTTTATTTCCTGAATGTGTTTTAGGATAGTTACGTAAACTCTCTAAGACTCTGTTCCCATATCTGCACCTTGTGGGTTATAATGTTGTTTTGCCCACAAGATTGGCTTTGCAGCAGCTTTAATGAAATGTGGTTGACCAATAATATACTTGTTGGTATATATTTAAAGTGTACATCATGATGACTTGATATGTAATCACCGTAAAATGATTGCCACATCCAAATTAGTTCACATATCTATCACTCGCACAGTTACCGTTGTGTGTGTATGTGTGTGGTAAAGAAGGTGACTTCTGCTCTCAGCTGCTTTCCCCTATATGCTGACGTCATACCCAATCTACGTAACTGTACTCATGCTGCTCTTCCTTAGATCCTCAGAACTTATCCTTGTCACTGAAAGTTTGCACAGCTTGGGCCAAAAATGTCTCCATGTGGCTCTGGTGTCCTTAATGCTAAACTTATAAAATGAGGGTGGAAGTATCCCCTCCTCAATTTTGGAAGAAGAGTCTGAAAAGGATTGTGTTAATTCTTCTTTACATGTTTGTTAAAATTCACCAGTGAGGCTGTCCAGGCCTAGGCTTTTCTTTTGCAAATCTGGTCATGTAGGACTAGGGCAAAGGACTTGTAAAATTGGTGTGATATATATATATATATATATATATATATATATATATAAAACATCAGTTATTGTTATTATTATTAGGGTCAGTAGTGATAAAGGGCATCTCTTTTTGTAAAATTGATGTGATATATATATATATTTAACACCAGTTATTGTTATTATTAGGGTCAGTGGTGATAAAGGGCATCTCTTTTTGTCATTTTGAAACTTGCAAACTAAGCACCTTCCTCTTTTTTGTACTTTTACAACTGATGAAAATCAAACAGCTACATAAATATGACAGACTTCACCTGTCCATAGCTCGGTGAAAGCAAGTATGCTATTTTTGTGTCTTTGACATAGATATCACTCTGGTAGGTTTGTTACCCCTTAATGGCAGAGCCTGTTGTTCTTGCCTCCCAATGAAGAAACTGTTGACATCAAGAGGCGTTATGGGGTACGTTGTAGGGAGAAGGAGGCAAGTGCATATCCTGGACATGAACCCCCCCCCCCCACCATGCTAGAAGCCTGGTAAAATATAGTCAACAAGAAACAACCTTATAGGAGCAGAATCATCACATTCGGAGCATTAAATTTTGGAGTGTGAGGAAGAAAAATGCATCCTTAGCCCATGGGTTATGGTATTTAAAAATCATCATCCTGTTTTCCTTCTGAGAAATACTGTCTTTTACCAAACTCCTTTCTTGAACTGTGTAACATTAAATAATGGATAAGAACATATAAATCAAATAATCCAGAGTTGTTTTTTTTTTTAAAGATTTATTTATTCATATGGAACTGGGGTACAGGCCAGAGATGTGGAGGGTGAGAGGATTCACCCAAGACAGAGTGGGGAGCAGAACAGGCAGATGGACGAAGTACACTGCTGAGGGGAGCAGCGGGCGGGTCAAGAGAAGTCTGCCAGCCATGTGGTCACCTCCGGGGCAGGCGGGGATCGAACTCATGCGGAAGTGGCTTTAGCTTCTTAGTGCTGTGCTTTAACCCGCTGCGCCACCAGGGAGGGCCCTAATCCAGTTTTACTTGATTAATCAGTACATTGTGTGATACTGGTGACATTGCGAATGACAGAGGCGATGATGATCCACACAACTATTCTTTTGCCTGTTAGGGACTGGGAAAGGCACTGAGTTAAAGGTTGGTCACTCAGGACTCTGATGGTTGTGTGGGAGTCAGTAAGAACCAAGAGAAGGAATCCAGGAGATGTCACTCTCAGTAGAAAATCAGACAGTTGAATCAGAATGGACATGGGAGGAAAAAAACCCAAATCTTCAATAACTTTTTGTTTAGGTCTGGCAATTTGTAAGAATTATATAATGTCTTATTACACATATGATTTTCTGGCCCATCTTTCAAATATATGTTGTAGATATTTCCATAGAGGTAGAAATAATTTGTGAGAGACATTTCCATGCTCTGCAAGTCCTGACTGAACTACACTAAATTTAATATAAACAGAATCTGTGTATTTTAAAATTTTTTATTATGGAATTATAACTAATTTACTATTTTAATTTGTTTTTCAGGCTGCCAGAAATTGTCTAGTAAATGAGGCAGGAGTTGTGAAAGTGTCTGATTTTGGAATGGCCAGGTAAGACCGAGTCTATGTGTACGTTTTCTATAAGTTTTGGGTTAATTTAATATGAGACTATGACCTTTCCATTGAAAGTACAGAAAACCTGACCTTTTTTGTGCAATTTGTATCAGTTACTTCCTCTGAAGCTTATTTTATTTTATTTATTTTTTAAAAGATTTATTTATTTATGCATACAGGACTGGGGTACAGGTCAGAGGTGCAGGGGCGGTGAAAGACTTTACCAGAGACAGAGTGGGGAGCAGAACAGGCAGATCGATGAAGTACACTGCTGAGGGGAGCAGCGGGCAGGTCAGGAGAGGTCTGCCATGCCATGTGGTCACCTTCGGGGCGGGGATCAAACTCTCTCTGCTGTGACCAGCTTTCAGTGCTGTGTCCTAACCTGTTGCGCCACCAGGGAGGGCCTGAAGCTTATTCTAAAAAGACTTCTTGAACCACATCTTTGTTCCATCAGCAAAATAATAGTACCTACCATATTTGGATGAGGACATGAATTGACATTTCCTGCTTTTTAATGTGTTTTTTTAATATAAGGTAATAAACTTAGTTGCATTGCATTTTGGAAGATTTCTTTACTGAATTTATCCAATTTATTTTAAGCATTTTTTTTCTCAAGTAAATAAACTGTTGAGAAATTATGATGGCTTAATGCTCAGATGACTTCGAAGTGATAAAATTACCACCTCCACCCCCCACAGCATCATGGTTAGTTTGGCCAAACTTTTTAGTTAGTATTATATTCTATAGTTGCTTAACATATACTTAAATGATTTTATAGGGGGAAGAAGGGATAGATTCTTGCAGATTCCCAAAGAAATGCCAGAAAGGCAAACTATGGCCAATATTATCCATTTATTTACTTTGGGGAGGGGGGCTTCTTAGCACTTTCTTATATAAGTACTGTATCTCAGGTTTTTCATACTGAGAACATCGAGCTTTCAATTTGAAGACACTCTGAAATCTTAAGCATAGCGTACATACCTCAGCCCCCCACTAGTAACCAGCTAATAGCCATTTTAGATGGCCGGTTGTTTGTGGAAGATCTTAGGATTGTTTGCCTCATTAACTGCAAACTGTCAGAAAGTTGCCTTGAGGGACACTTTTATTTGGAAAATTACAACACTAGTATACAAGTCAAGCTTAACATATTGAACATTTGCTTGTTGAAAGCAATGCCATAAAATCAAGTAAGAGTAAACATGGTTTACTTTTTTTCCTTACAATAACATAACAATTATGGAGGGGAACTTAACAGGAAGTTTTTAAAAAAGTAGATATTCACATTACTTTGTAGAATTAATAAATGTGCGAATAATCTGCCCTGATGAAGCAGATAGGAGATCATATTAGCTGTTCTGAAGTAAATTCATTAAAAGAACCAGACACGGAATAGACATGATCCTCTCCACTAGGTGGCAGTATATCCTGTTGAATATACTTCGTCTTCTCCCGGGTGTGTATGTTTCTATTGTTTTCTCAGAAATCTCCTTGCTAGCAAAGTTCTTAGAATACCCAAATCTATGGTGTGTTTATTTTCTTGATTTTTGTAATTTTAATATGTTTTTAAAGGTATTTAGTTTTGTCTTCTGCTCCTCCTTCTCTTCCTTCCACCTCTTTCATTCATTCTCCCATCTATTCATCCAAACTTAGGTGCCTGCTATTTACCAGGCATACTGTTAGGCCGATCAAGAGCAGAAAATCACATACAGCTAATATTCAGGGGGAGGGAGAAACATAGGCCTTGAGAATCCCAAGGAGGGGAAGCATTTTGGGTTTTGGTCATGTGTGATAACAGACATTGTAGAGGTGTGAGACCCCTAAAAGATATAAAAGACCCATCATAGACATAATTTTTTAAAAAAGGGGGAGGGGTGGCAGAGACGGAGTGTTGTAAAAAAAAAAAAAAGATTCGAGTAGGCACTTATGACCTCCCGTCTCTCTTTGTATGGCTGATGAGCCACCAGTGGTTTGTACATTTTTTTTAATGGTTAGGAAAAGTTAAAAGAATATGATACATGAAAATTACCTGAAATTAAAGTTTCAGTGCCCATCAATGAGGTGTTACTGAGATACAGCCTCACTTATTCCTTTTGCTGTGGCTCCTTTCATGCTACAAAAGCAGAGTTGCATAGTTGAGCAGAGACCGTATATCCTGAAAATCTAAAATATGTGTTAGTGACTTTTTATAGAAAAAACTACCTGATCCCTGTGATAGAAGAGAGTTGGAGGATTACTTTGAGGAGGTGGGCACTCTGGGGAGGTGGGGAAACTTCGAGGGGGTGATGATGTGGGGCCAAGGTAATGGGTTTTGCTTTAGACCTATGCCTGAGGCCTCTTTGATGTGGGGTATTTGAATGGACCAAAAGACAGTAAAGTGATAATCTAAGATTAAAATATTCCAGGTGGAAGAAACATCAAGTGTGAGTGCTTCATATCAGGGGCAAGCTTGGCCAGCTCAGGGAACCGCAACAGGCCCTGGTGGCTGACCTATGGCCAGTGCAAGGACAGGCCAAACAGGCCAGTTTCCGTCCCCAGGAAAACTTGGGCCAGGCAGGTTTAGAAGATAAACTATCAGAAGTGGGGCCAGGACTGCGGCCTGCCTACTAGGGCAGTAATTACCCAGTGTTGCTTCTTTAAAAGGTATTCAGGGCCCTCCTTGATGGTGCAATAGATTAGGATGCAGCATTGCAAGCTAGCCTCAGCCACCTCAGTGCAAGTTTGACCCCTGCCCTGGAGGTGATCTACATGGCGTGGCAGACCTCTCCTGGCCCGCCCGCTGCTCCCCTCAGCAATCTACTTCGTCAGTCTGCCTGTTCTGCTCCCCACTCTGTCCCCTGCACCTCTGGCCTAAACCCCAGTTCTGTATGGATAAATAAACAAATCTTTTTTTTTTTTTAAAGGTGTTCGGTACTAATAGACAGTCTACCAGTTTCATGTTTGGCTTCCAGGAAATCTGTGCTTTTGCCCCAGTTTTTCTAAGACAGCTCCATCTACTAAGTTGAGCCTTCTATTGACAAGCAGGTGGTCCCAGCCTGTGGTGTTGGTGTCTGCCAGCCAGCAGGTAGCATCATGCTGGGCCATCATCTTTGTCTATATTGCTAAGAAATATGTGCAGTGATCTTCTCATGGAGCTCTTAAAAATTAACTTTACGGTTTCATGTCATACAGTGTTTGCACACATTCTTCTTAATGAATGCATCAGAACGTATTACAGAATGGGCTGAAGTCCCCATCCCTGCCGTCCCAACCAACACCCTCCCCCAACCTAGCCACTGTTCCTCGTTTGTGTGTCCCTTCCAGAAGCATGTTCACATAGAAATTTATCTGATGCTGGGTTGGGTGTGCTGAGGGGGTGATGTCATGTTGGATAAATAGACACACCACCACTCACTCACATTCGTCATGTTGCAATTTGCTCTTTTCAGTCATGGTAGTTTTCAGTTGTGCTCCTGAGAATGGGGGTGGGGGTGTGTGTGGCTGAAAGACCACGTGCTGCCTGACACCTGCACCACTTCCTTTAGAGCAGCGCTGCCTTAGATGTTTTACATGTGGGGCTTTGGTACAATTTTGTTTAAAGAACAGAATAATTACAGAGAACACTTGCTAACTTATTTTTTTATACTCTGTTTCCATCTCCTTATAAATAAAAAGGAAAACAAACAGAAAAAAGTACAGATACTAATGTTATAAATGTATAATTCATAACACCTCAAGCACTTAAATAAAGCTGCAAGCGGGGATGGAAATTACCAGGTGGATAGTCACTGAGACAAATATTTAGTTTCAACCATGCTCTTTGGACTTAATTAACTTTACTTTTGACTGTAAGAGGGGAAAAATCAAAGAATATGTATAAAATGCAGATGTAGATTGCAGGTGTGATTATGTGTGTTTCTTCCTCAAGGTATGTTCTGGATGATCAGTACACAAGTTCTTCTGGTGCTAAATTTCCTGTGAAGTGGTGTCCTCCTGAAGTGTTTAATTACAGCCGCTTTAGCAGCAAATCAGATGTCTGGTCATTTGGTAAGACCCACGAGCTGTCACTCCTCAAATCTGCTCTTGAGAGGTAGCAGATACACCATGGAGTAATCTTCACCCTTTTCCCAGGTGTTTTAATGTGGGAAATATTCACTGAAGGCAGAATGCCCTTTGAGAAAAACACCAACTACGAGGTGGTAACCATGGTTACGCGAGGCCACCGGCTCTACCCACCCAAGTTGGCATCCAAATACGTATATGAGGTGATGCTGAGATGTTGGCAGGAGGTATACAATTTTTGTTTGTTTTTTATTTTTAACTATCTAAAACATTTAGGGGTCTGGGCGTGGCCAATGAATAAAGTGTGGCTTAGTGCATGTTTGTATGATTTCACGCTCTGGTAGAAAGCTACCCCTCTCGAGTCAGTTCTCAGTCATAGGAACAAAGAATGTGGAGAAGTGGAAACGCTAATGGTTATCATCATAAATTCAAGGTGTTGCCTCAGCCCGAGTTAGGGACTCAGGGGGTCAAGCTAGAGAAGTAGCTCTCTTTCAGTGCATCCTTTTGGTTGAATAATGACATTTTACCAGAGGGGATTTCTTTCTCTGAACTTCAGTATTCTCAGATTTTTTACTCACAATCCTTGGAAGTTTTCCTTGCCATGTGTGACAGTGTCACCTCACTGAGCAGATTAGACACAAAAATGACTTTTGAAAGATAATATTTGCTTACATGTATAGTAGGCACTATATGAGGTGCTTTCGATTTAGTTTTTAAAAAACCTTTTGAAGAGCTGATACTTCTACTCTGACCACTCTGTAGATGAGAAGACTGAGACTCATGAAGTCGACATATGCCCAAGATCTCAGATAGCTACAGAGAGCAGAGACCTCTCTGACTCCAGAGCCCAGGCTCTTGGTCACTTATTCTAATACCTCCCCGGAGCACTGATGGGGGAGGGCAGACTTCTGGGCAAGAAGTGGTGCTAGGGAGAGTGAGAGCAAGAGCAAGGTAAGGGGCGGTCATGAAGTTTTTGTGTGTGCCCCAGGATGAAGATTGTTCTGATTGAACAGAGAGCCCATAAATTGAGTAATTAGGTGATGAAGGGCTCAGGTTATAGAGGGCCCTGCAAATTAACAGGACTGGATTGCACAGGGGGTAAACTCTATTAGGTCCTGAGCAGGAATGTGAAATGAAAGCAGTGTGGTGGAAAGGTTGGTCTAGCACAGTTCATGCAGCATAGAGTGGACCCTCATCGGGCAGGCTGCTGACCATTGTGCTAAAGAGTGGCTCAGACTGAACACCCACATGTTCCAGGCCCAAAGCAATGAGCACCTTGCTCTTGTGTGCTGTACCTGGGTTTGACAGTGAGAAAGTATTTTTGGAATGGTTTTGGAACTCACAACTTCTCTTTGATTTTTAATTCTAGAAACCAGAGGGAAGACCTTCCTTTGAAGATTTGCTGCGCACAATAGATGAACTAGTTGAGTGTGAAGAAACTTTTGGAAGATAACTGGTACTGTGACCAGTGGCTACCAGATTCCAAATCTCAAGGAAGAAATGGCATTTGTGCCTACTTTTAATTTATTTAGCACTGGGCATGTAAATTGTTTTACCTATTAAGGTACAACTAAAGTATTGGTTGTTAATACAGATTTGGCTCTGTGACTGAATTTCCCAGATTATGAAAATACTGTCTTAGTATACTTCTACTCTGACCACTCTGTAGATGAGAAGGCTAAGACTCATGAAGTCGACATATGCCCAAGACCTCAGATAGCTACAGAGAGCAGAGGCCTCTCTGACTCCATCCCATAGGCACTTGAGTGCCCGATGATGCTAACTAAGCTTAGGCCATTGGGTTTTCCCATTTTAAGGGTCTAAATGGGGCCAGAATAGCTGGTCCCCATGGAATGCCAACATATTTGAGAAGGGGAAGGGTTTTAGCCTCTCACTTCCCTTTCACTTCTGCAGAAATCTGGGCCTGGAGCATTTTCTGGAATGTGGGCTCTAGATGAACGAGGAACCCACCTTAGTTAGATCTTGTCTTTAGTTTTGAAAACATCTGTTTTTAAGACCGTCACTAGTATTACATGAAAACTATTTTGTGATGTATATATTGTAAATATATGAACATATAAAGTTATATATTTATAAAAAATATGAGTTGTCTTTTAATTGAACCTCTTTATCCTGTCATATATGAGTTAGGATTGGGGACTGCCTCACTGCTGTCAGCGGTTTACTTAGGCATCAAATAGTCTTCACTGAAGAGAAGAAAGGCTGGACATTTCACTTACTAATGCCCCCTCCTGGCTTAGGTAGACATGTTTGGGGGTGCCAGTTCAGCTAAAAGTTTCCAGCAGAGCCAGTGTTTGGATTAAACAGATCTTGCACATCGGGTTTGCAGCTAATTGGAGTTAGGGAGAAAATTGAACTTGGGGCATTTAAATCAGTTTCTAAGTTTAAGAACCTGCTTAAGGCCCTCCCTAGGGGCACAGTAAGTTAAAGCACAGCACTAAGAAGCTAAAGCCACTTCAGCATGAGTTCGATCCCCGCCTGCCCTGGAGGTGACCACATGACGCAGCAGACCTCTCCTGACCCGCCCGCTGCTCCCCTCAGCAGTGTACTTCGTCGATCTGCCTGTTCTGCTCCCCACTCTGTCTCTGGTGAGTCCTCTCACCCTCCACATCTCTGGCCTATACCCCACTTCTGTATGCACAAATAAACATAAATCTTTTTTTTTTTTAAAAAAAGAACCTGCCTAAGGGCACAAATGTTGTAACTGGAGGTGCTGGGCTCCTGAGCAGAAACATCAGGTGATGCCACTCTGCCAGCCAGATCCATGAACAAATTCAAATTCTGGCAGAGACCAAGAAGCAACCAGGAAAAAACAGAGCATAGATTACCCAGCGGTCTCCCATCTGGTTCACGGGAGGCCTGGGCAGACCAGATTCCTGGGTCAACAAGGTTGCCATTATAGACTGCGCTGACTGGTTCTGATGCTTACAGTCTCTAAGAAATACAGAAGTTAGAGCCTTCGTTTTCCCTGATGAACCCAGAAAAAGATGTGCTGTGTTCACCATCAATGGCGCTACACATCGTTCTTGGTTTTGTGGGACAAGAAAACCAGGAAGACTTGGGGCCATTCTTGAAGAGTTGCACTGCTGTGGGGGCAGCCGAGGCCCTCGCTGTGCTGGGGAGCATGTGGGCGCGCATGAGCACTCTGGCTGCTCTAAGCATCACCATGGTCCCGGAGAGCATCTCTCCATGTGGGTGGTGAGAGCATCTCTCCATGTGGGTGGTCCCCCGTCTGATACTGAAAAATAAAATCTACCTTAAACACATATCTTCATAAAATATCTTAAGCATGGTCTGTTCGCCACCTTTCCCTTCACCTCCCCGTTTAATTATACTCTCATCAAAAAAAAAAAAATCTCTTTCTATTTTGGGCCCTCCCTGTTGGTGCAGTTGGTTAAAGCACAGCACTAAGAAGCTAAAAGCCACTTCAGCATGATTTTGATCCCTGCCCTAGAGGTGATCTACATGCCCACCTGCTGCTCCCCTCAGCAGTGTACTTCATCCATCTGCCTCTTCTGCTCCCCATTCTGTCTCTGGTGAATCCCATCACTACCTCTGCACTCCTGATATGTACCCCAGTTCTGTATGCATGAATAAAAAAATCTTTAAAAAAATAAGTGAGGGACCTCCCTGGTGGCGCAGCGGGTTAAAGCACTGCACTGAGAATCTAAAGCTGCTTCCGCATGATTTCGATTCCCGCCTGCCCCGGAGGTGACCACATGGCGTGGCAGACCTCTCCTGACCGCCCGCTGCTCCCCTCAGCAGCGTACTTCGTCGATCTGCCTGTTCTGTTCCCCACTCTGCCTCTGGTGAAGCCTCTCACCGCCCCTGATCCTCTGGCCTGTACCCCAGTTCTGTATGTACAAATAAATAAATCTTTAAAAAAAAAAATAAGTGAGATTACAACTGAGATGAAAAAATGCACAAAATGAAGAATTATATAAAAAAACAATAATAGTAAAAAATAATATAATTAAAATAAAGTGCTAGATGGTGTCAAAAAGAGTGAAGAGACACCTAGTCCTATAACAGCAGTTATGTATACTTTTGAGGGGAAGACAGGATTAAACAATAAAATATTTGGGACTATTAAAAAAATCTTTTTAGTGTTCACTAAAACTAAAAAAAAAAAAAAATTAGATAAAAGCTGAGCTAAGGCAAAAGATGAAATCAAAATAAAAGAATCCACCCAGAGACGTAAAGAGATCTTAATCTACAAGGCAGGAAATAGGACGGGCTCTGTGAACTGTCTACCTGAGAGGTGTTTAGTTTTGTTTATATTTTCCTGTGGGATGAAGTGAATCTGCTAAGGACATATTTGCTGTTGATGTTGTTTTTATATATCTCAGTCCTGCCCCCAGTGACCTCTGAAATGTGGTAGTACATAAGCCTCCCCTCCCTCACTCGCCAATACAGTTTCCTCTCTGATCCTGACTGGTCACAGCTGAGGGGAGGACAGGCGACCCTGGTCTTTGCACTCCAGCACCTCAAAGCTAGTTCTGTTGCTACCACTGTGTCCCTCTCCTACCTGTGCCTCCACTGTCTTCTCTGTGCAGAGGAGGCAGTTTGATGTGATGATTTCTGAGGCCCCCTTTTACCAAAATTTTATAATGTCTAGAAATTTGTTTTCTAGACTCATGCACACTGGTGAAACAAGGCACTAAGCAATTCCCTGGGAGCTTGGGGTGCTGTTTTTTTTTTTGTTGTTTTTTTTAATGAGCTTCCTTTACAGACCACTGCATTGTCATCTATACACTCCTCTGAAGTTTGAAGACAGGAAAATAGGTGGGGTTAACTTTGCCTGTGAGAAACGTCTGCTGTGAGTTCTGACTTCAGTTCAAAGATGTGTTTTGTGACTGGAACTCTACAGATGAACTCAAGACGGTCTGGTGTCCTCTCTGCAGAAATGCAGCCATGATTCTTTCTACCTGTAAGTAAATGGCTTTGTTGTTCATCTGTAGGGCCCAAGGTTGGCTTAAGTCATGGTCTGGGAGAACACAGAAAGTTTTGCTCAAGCTTAGGACTTGTGAAATTTGGGGGATAGTTTTCCCAGATGCTGTGAGAAGTTTTTATTTCTTATTAAATCACCCTCTGGATGATGTCATTCAGTAAGTGCCCAGCCTTGAGGACAACGTAAGCAAAAATGCTGTCTTTACATCTGTATGTACGTGTAGAAATGTAATCAGTTTGCAAAATGCTTGGTTTTGGAATAATAGAAAGAACTGAGGACTGAAAACAAGGAGAACATGTTCTGGTTCTATATTTGCTGCAATGTTGGCTGCTCTCTGGAGACTTCGTTCTCTCAGGGGTCCACACTCTATTTTCTCACCTCCCAAGCAAGATAACTGTAAAAATGTTCTTCATAAACATAATAGTAGAGTTGCGTTGGAAAAGTATTCAGTCCATGTGCAATTTTTGGGAGTCTTTATTAATTTGATACTAAGACTCAGAGCTCCATAAGGAAGAAAAAATGTTGTTGCTTTTACTTCTGGATGAATATGGAGCCAAGATTTAATAACATTCAGTCTTATTCGATTAGAGCAATCAAAGGCCAGCTGACAGCATTTTTAAGTGATATTAAGAAAAATAGTCTGTAATTTTAAAATGTCATCTGTTTAAACCAAATCACCTCGAAGGACCCTTTGAAGGGTCCTTTCACACAAGGACTACTTGTTGGCAGGATTTGAAACTCTAAGTCAGGCTATTCCAGTCATACTAACCTGAATATAACTTACAAACTAACATCTAATCATAGACAAATAACAGGGCTGTCTCAATTCAGAAATATAGGTCAAGAACAGCAAAGTAGAAAGCGCTAAGAGAAACAACCTGTGTTTATGACAGGACAGAGAAGAACAGTGACTTTAAAGGAATCTTTTTGTTAAAAGTTATGTGCACATCTGTTCTTCATTTCTTGTGAGGTCAGAAGTAGAGAAAAGTGTAAATTATAACAGGAAAGATGCTATTATTTATAAAATAAACAATGGTAGGGATTAGATTGCCCAAGGGATTACATAAATTCTACCCATTAGTGGGATATTTTCAGGAGCATTCTGTCTGACCTCAAAGGCATGGCCATGATGACCCTTTCATTTCTGGTCATTGGATTCAGTAGTAGGAAATGCCTATTTTTTTCTACCTTCCAGAAAGCCTCGACATGGCTCCATTTTCTCCGACTAAAACAATGAGTGTTTACTGTTGACAAGAGAAATCCAAGGAAAGTCTTTGGGTGTATGTGTTTACCCAGCCAGTCTCATTTGCCAATAAATTTGTTACTTTAAGAACTGTTGTAATAGGCTGGTCTCACAGGCTGTCTAGTTGTCAGTGTGTTGGGTAGGATTCAACTTGATTGAAAGGTGGGAAGAGTCTGAGTGGGGCCAGATGTCTTGAGGACGAAATCTGTGAGCTCATCACGAACTTTGAGCTCACAGACAAAGTTTCTAGGAAACACACTTCTGAGATCTGGGGGTGGTGGGGTGAGTTGGGATGGCAGAGACTGGGTTTGTGTGCAAGGTGACTAATAGCAAAGTTCAGCTCATGTTAGTTCCCATAGGAAAGAAATCAAAATTCTTGCGTGGAACAAGCAAGTAAGTGTTTTGGGATCCTACAATGTTTGGTGCCTGAGGTTTGCTCTGGATAAACTGCAAAGAGATGAACAGTCTTTGGGGAGACCTTGCCTTTCTTTCCAGAACCCTTTACTTTCCCCCACCCAAACTATCTCACCCGGTGCTTAGTGAGACATCCAGCTTCCCAGGCTTCAGGAGGGTCTTCCTTCCTTCTCCACACAACACTCCTTCAGGCCCCAACAGGACAAGTACCATCCTTATTTGCCTTCCCAATATAGCAATATACTGTCCCATGGGCTAAATAGCTGTGTTTTGTGGGTAGTTGTTCTCTTAACTGTAATATGTCACAGACAGGATAATGTCCAAAAAAGAGAAGATCTAACATTAGGTTTTAACTTACTTTGTTAATACATTTAAGAAGACTAACATCACTAGTGACAGCCCTCTC